GCAGCATGGCCAGTAGCTGAGGGAGGTGATTCTCCCCCTCCACTCCATTCTTGTTGGACCCCACATGGAGTGCTGCATCCAGCTGTGGGGCCTCCAACATACGAAGGATGTGGATGGGATGGAGCAGATTCGGAGGAGGGCTGCAAAGATACTCAGAGGGCTGGAGCACATCTCCAACAGACAGGCTGAGAGAGATGGGGGGCTGTTCAGCCTGGAGAAGAGAAGGCTCTGGGGAGACCTTGTACTACCCCTAAAGGGGGCCTGCAGTACATCTGGAGAGGGACTTTTTACAAGGGCATTTAATGATGGGACTGAAAAATAGTAGGTTTAGATTAGATACTAGTGAAGAATTCTTCACTGTGAGGGTAATGAGGCACTGGAGCAGGTTGCCCAGAGCAATTGTGGATGCCCCATCCCTGGCAGTGTTCAAGGCCAGGCTGCATGGGGCCCTGAGCAAACTGGTCTAGGATAAGGTGTCCCTGCCCATGGCAGGGGGATTGCAATGAAATGATCTTTAAGGTTCTTTCCAACAAAAAACGTTCTGTGATGATTTCTGTGTTGGGGTGCAGTTTTTGTTTTTTTGTCTAATTAAAATGGTATACTTGCTAGCTCATTCAATCTACACTAAGATTGGTTATCAATAAATAGAAATGTCTTACCAACAGTGTTCATTTATAAGTTGCTAAAATATATTTTATTTTGATTGCCACATTAATCTTAGTAATTTTTGTTCCATTTATCTCAGTTTAATTCAGTTTTTATTACATTATTCAGATGGATTTTTCTTCTATTTGTTAGAAATAGTGCAAAGTAAAGAAACAAGTAAAAGTAATATACTCAAAAAGACTGGCAGTAATGAATTGAGAGATTTTTGTCATTTGAAAGAAACATCTTAGTAATATATTGACAACTATAGTTTTCTTCCAAGAAGCTTCTACATGAAAAGACAACTTTGGAGGAAATTCAGGCAACTCTAAAGAAAGCAATTTAGATTTTATGATACAAGTGTTTTTTCTGATTATGTTAATCTGACACAGCCTGATTGTGTCCCCCAAAGGCCATAGCAAAACATAATCAGGCAGACTCTCTAAATTGGAATCACTCTAAAATCTCCTAAAGATGCAAATGTAGTTATCAGAGAAGAGTTACAAGAGTTTGTTCAAAGATTAGTTTTTAGAAACTCAAACTTTTTTCAACCAGTTTGTATTTGAAAAAAATGTGTTTGAAGATTATCAAATCTAGCAATAAAATACCATTTTTCAATTGAATTGGGCACTCATGCATTTTATAGATGTCATTAAATAAGTCATGTTGCCAGAGAGTTTCTCAAAGCTAAATTTAAAATGGGTTACATTAAGTATTCTCAAAGTATTTGCAGGCACAATCAATGTGTATACAGGAATGTAAGTTTATGTATGCAAACAGGTACATAGGCTAGAGTAATTGGGCAGATTGGCTAATTATGTTTCTAGGCGGGCATGCACAGTTTGGTGTATGCAAATTAATGCAATCAGATGCACTGCTGGTAAATTAAGCCCATATATTTAATTTTACCCTTTAGGTATCAACAATATCAGATAAGGTGGAACTTGCATTCAGTAATAACTATTTTATTACAAGACAGGTACCAAATCCTTTTCAGGAAATTTTTGGTGGCAGAGGTTGACTTTCTCATGACATCATGTATTTAATGTGACATCATAGTAACTAATGCATGAACATTTATAGTGATTGCAGTAGAATCACAAAATTAAATGACAACATTTTATTAGCTGCAAGTTTCAGTGATCTGGGTCTTCTTTCATCTTGAATTATAATAAATACAAGGAAGAAACAAGTGATTTATTAAAGTGAAATAACTGCCTCATTGGTTTTTGTTTTTAAATGTCTTAACATTTGAAAATGTAAACATATATTGCTTTATCTGTATAGCTCACATAAGTAATAACTAATTATATATGTTACAGTTTTGTGCCTATTTCAGAATATTGTTGACATACAGCAATGATCATATCTCAAGATAATTTTTACCATCACAGTAGTTTCTCATTTATTTCCATGTTAATAGTTTTTTTGTGTGATCATTGCCTACCTGTAAAAAACATAACTCTAACACCTGGTTACAAAGAAACAGTCAACAGAAATAAATCTGATGCAGTTAAATAATGGTGAAGGGAAAAATTTGAATACATAAGTAAAATGCATTATTCAAGTATTTTATGAAATGCACATGTCTACCATAACTAGCATTAAAAATATTTTTAATTGACTTTTCATATTTGCAACTCAGTCAAAAATAGCTGTTCAGCTGCTTTGATAATACAGTCCACTTTCAGCATCATTGTACTAAAGCTTCTGAATATACTAACTATTCCATACAAGCTATTCCCATAGCTGGGTCTCTGGACTGATACCTTCAAAGTATCATTTTTTTATAATTTCTTTATCATTCTGCCTTTCATTACAATTTTGGAAAAATACAGACCTATCTCTTTTTTATGAAAGTATTATTGGTTATATAGAAGCCAATTTTTGTAACAGTGATCTGCTGAAGGTCTCAGAGGAGTTCTGTGTAAAAGAGGAAATTTGACACTTGTCAGCTTAAATGAGTGCCCTGGGACAGTTTGCATTTAAAAGCCTAACAAAGCAGAGGTTAGTTGAGGGAGGTATTTTATCTGACTATATAAAATATTTTCTGTTTTCTTCATACCTCTCCACTCATCACAGAACTGCATTTTCTACATTCTGAGCTTGTTCTAGTTTCCATCGTCCTTGCAATCCTTTCTGAGACACCTGTTTTCTTTTCCTTCAGGTGATTTTACTTCTCTTCATCTAAAAGGAGGGATTTTTTTCATTCTTTGTCTTGTTTTCATCAAGGGCATGCACAAGGGTGTATATGTGCTAAAACACTAAACACCACTAGTCCTTTCTTTGATATATTTTAGGCATCTACACCAATTCCCCCTGTGTCTCACAAATTCTGTTTCCAGTCTGGCTTTTGCTGACACCCATGAGCTCCTCTCTGTTGATGTCTGGAACTTTTGCAATAGATTTGTACGGCATTTTAAAGTTTCTGTATCTCTGATAAACAGAAATTGTATCAGGTTGATATTGGGATGCTGGTCCTGTCCGTGGCCTCAGGCTACCTGGGCACTTCTGGATAATTGTGAGCTATAAAAGTAACAAGTAGTTAGAGAAAGATGCAGCCAACTATGTAATCTAATGATGCTAGAACTCATGTGAATGATTGGAAAACTCTCAGTCAAGTGAAAGGAGCAACAATAGACCAATTATTGCTACATATTGTACATAAGCAAAGATACAGTTCAGCCTTTTTTTACTATAATAGAAATGAAATGATTTTTACTTTGTCTTCAAATTATGCAACTCATCAGAAAAGATTTTTACTTTTTAATAAAGGTGGTATGTTTGAATTGTTTCCTTTTTAGTACTTCCTGGTGGACATAAAATCTTGTATTGATAATTTATTACTCATTAGGCTGCATATAACTAAAGCTGTTTCTGGCTTTTTCAATAGTAACTGACAGCTTCTGTGTACAGCATTTCAGGTTCCTGTTTACACTGTAAAATCTCTTCAAATCAGCTCAAAATTTCATTACACAGCATAACCTGAATTTAAACTTCTATGATTCCTGTGCTTTTTTTTTTATTTATTATTATTTTCCCATCTAAAAGACCACAGATAAAATTCACAGCTTATAAACATTAGCGTGGCTTGGAAATGGGTTTTTTTTTTGTCATCACCAGTTTGCTGTTAAGTGTGTGCTTTTAGCCTTTTACTCTGCTCATTGTAAAACAAAACCAGAGGATAAGGAGTTCCCATGGTTTTTTTTATTAGTCCAGACAAGTTCTTCTCAAACAGTGATTCATTATTAGCAAAATAGTTCTTTATAGGTGAAAGAGTTGAAGGAGTTCTGGGGGAGTTCTGCTCTATTAAAGAATATTTGACTTGAGATTTTATAAGTTTGAACATTTGTGTGTGTCCTGATAAGCCATTGCTGTATTCTAAGAGTAATCAATTTTAGGTTCCTCATTAAGATCCCAAGAAGAAAAAACCCAGTATAAAAATCATGCATTATTTTTTATTTTTTAATTTATGTGCAAGAAGTAACTTCTTCATATATTTTTAGGTCATAAAGGAGCTGTTTCAGGATACAGTGCCTGCTAAATGCTTTCATGGTTGAAAAAAAATTTGAAAAAAGTTAATTGAATAAGAATTAATTGAAAGCTACATAGTAAAAGCATGCCTGACTGAAGATGGCCATATACCACAAACTGAAAACTATAAAAGTATTGTGAAGAAGCATCAGTAACTTATGTTAGACTTTTAGTCTGACCCAGCATAGCCTTTTCCTAAGTTGAAATAATCCATCTAGCTCTGTTTATAAGAGAGTATACATATATGCTTGTGTAGATTGATTATGTGCTCCAGTGGATTAACTTGGTTTTTTCCCTTTGAACTTTATATTGAGTGTTGACTGAATTTTGCAAATTGTGAACAGTGAAAGACAGTGTCCAGAGTGGGGCAAACAGTAGGACCAGTAGGACCTCCCTGTTTCTATAGAAGTATTTATGATCTCTAAAACCTAAATGTTGCCTCATAAAATACCAGTTGAACTATTTATACAACAGTTCTATTCATACTGTTTAATAACAAAAAGAGTTAGTGCCAAGTAATTCCAACATCTTTCACTGGTCGATAAGTGTAATAGTCCCCAAAGCATTATCTTAATCATCCTTTTCTACTCATATGTCTTAGAAAATAAAATAATATACAGGCATCAAATATCACTACAGTAAGTAAAGTACAAAGTTGGAGAAGTTTATGCCGAAGGCATTGGCAGCGCTTTCTGTAGAAGAAAATTTTATGGTTCAAATTATGTATGGCTTACTGTTTGTAAAGGCTCATTAAAATACCCTGAATATGTTCTATTTTTACTACTGTTTATCAGAATTACATACTTTTTGTTTACTTACAGTATGAAAGAGGCTGGTTTAGGCCATAAACAGTGGAGGGGTGGTCCCATTTCATCAAACTGCAAGCAGTGTCCAGTAGTTTATACCAATCCTGTTTGTGGATCAGATGGTCACACATATTCTTCTCAGGTAAGAATTGAATAAAGAACTAAATTAATCTTTCATTGTTCCAGTCAATTCCAGCTCTTGGAAAATAAAATAATGTATTGTAACACAAACCAATATTTATTTGTGTTGGCTGAAATGTGTACTGCAGAATGCAACCTACAACAATGCTAGTATTTTGTATGATGTAAAAGTAAAACGGTAGCAAACCCTAAATAGCATAAAGCAGTAATACCTGGGGCAGCAGTGTAAGACTGCTACACAGTATAATGGAGCACACGGAGTGCTCCGAAGTGTGACAAGAAACCAGGGCAGGGTTTTGAGTAAGCAAAAAAGCGTTGGGTGTCTCCAGCTGGGGGTAGAATAGGCATGTTAAGTCAGATTTTCCAGTTGGGCATTGAAGGTGTGCTTCAAATTCCAGTCCTTAGACATATTCCAGGCACTTAGACATAGGTGTAACATACCCAGAAAAAAAAAGTAATAATGTAAATGAGTGTTGCATATCTTTCCTTGCAACAGTGTATTATGAGTTTTAAGATCATAATCAAATCTTCCTTTTCTAGTCCTTAACTCTCATGTTTTTTCTCTCATACAATTTTGGAGATAAAGTAATAATTTTAAAATGTTACTGTCAGTTTACTCAGTCTTGTTTGGATGAAATATTTTGTGCTGCTCCCGCTGAAGTCCAAAAATTCTGGGACTGCATTAGTACAGTGCAGAGATTAAATTGTGAGATGGAGGGACTTCATAATGTTGAAAACAAATTAATTTGTTTAGCATCCTTCATTAAAACTTCGAGCAGAAGAATGCTCAGCCAATATTAACAAATGAGTCTTCTTTAGTAGAAAAAAGTGTGGGCTCTTGGTAAACCCATTTTTCTCAGAAACAGCATGTAATTCAGTGGTGTGAAAGGAGCTGCTGTATTCTGTCTTACTGACACTGTGTCCTTACACTAACAAATTGTTTCATTAGTAGATAATATCCAGTGCTTCAAGAGAAGTATAATAATAGATTAAACTGATGGAGATGAAAAACCTCTGTGTTTGTTACTTACGAAGAAAAAACTTCATATTGCATTTTAAACAAAATACTTTAGGGATATTTGCTTGTATCTAAAGTTTTAAAGTTTCGATATTTTTTTGTTTGTTTTTTTACGTAATCACAAATTAATAGCATCTGAAGTTTACACATCTGTAGTCACATGTGAGGTTTACAAAAAACAATTAGTTTCCAAGAGGGACTGGGTGTTAGATTGAACACTAAGTATCTTCTCCAAGGGTATTTTATTCTTGATAAAATAAAAACATCAGATTTAACTAGTGCTTCCTAAACCCTGACAACACTTAGGCTTTTATCCTAAATCTTACATTAGAAAATGTTTTTCCTACTAACTTGAATATTTAATTATAGGGATTTGTTCTAGAATCTTAGTTGTCCTTTAAAGAAAGAAATTTAAAAAATTTCTAATGCTTACACCAGGTTATCTGAGGCCCTAGAAATAAATTCTGGACTCTTCGGTGTAGCTAAAAAATACTCCCTTTCATTGACACTATGACTTTAATTTAGGAATTTGAAAAGTATTCTGATTTTCATTAACTGTAATCTCCTGCCTGTGTTTTTTTATGAGCTAAAAGTGTGTTGGCATCTTACTAGACATTAGGTGATGCTGTCATTTAGTATTTACTCTGCCTTGCCATTCAAAAGTTCAGGCAGTCTTTAAGTCTCCAGTCCAGGTGGCACACAGATATAATACAGATGGTAGTGTCTACAATTTTGAAATTTAAATAGATGAGGTAGATAAGTTAATATAGTTAATACTGGATGAGCAACATTTTTATTTTTTAAATGCTGTATACTTCATTTATTGCAATCTCTCCCTGTGTTCTTTCTAAGTAATGCAAAAATCACCCCACTTTAACCTCATTGGTTATTTCCTATTTTACCATATAGGAATGCTGAGGTCTGAATAGCTCCATAGGTAGAAGTGACCTTTCTCCTCTCATGGTCTGGTCTGGAGTAGGTGTACAAAAATCTATAAATATTGATGAGATGCAGATGTTTTTAAATCAGTTCATATGTTAAAGGTGCAGCTGTTCAGAGGGAGTGATGAGAAATGAGTGGATTGAATAAACACACTGTGTTCACATTCCAGTGCATTCAGTGCTGCAGTCAGTGCAGCAGTGCATGTTATCCAACCTCAGTATCCCTTGCATGCAAACAATGCAGAGGTGACATACCCTCAGAGATATTCTGCAGGGTTGAACTTTTGTCTTCCACTGCCTTGTAATGGTAAATTTCAAATCTCAGTTTATGGAAGAAAAATGCTAAAAACGTTTATTGTCACAGAATATCTATATTAGCCTATAAATACTTACTTTTATTTCTCTTTAGTGATGTGAGGATTTCACACTCTGTGCAACGAGTTGCATCACAACAGAGGTCCTTGCCAGGTTATTTCAAGAGCAATGTTTTTAAAAATTGACTAAAGGCAAATATTTGTGTTCTTGTACTCCAAGCAAAGTTTGTTTCATTGTGTCATCAAGCTCCAATAGGAGTTTATACAGCACTTTTCTTGTATTTAGAAAGCATTCATTAATGACTCTGGAAAATTCTATAATACATTTCCTGGAAATAAGTCATTAAATAGTACTGTAGAACACAGCCAGGCTGTTGATATTTGTCAGATGGATGCTCTTTTGGGAGTATAACTTTGCTTTTTCAGGACAAGCCCATTAAATGCTTAATTTAAAGTTATGTAACTATAGCTATTTCATACATGTGTTTTGCTTTGGAAAGCAAACAAGGAAAAAAAATTATATAATAGGTGGGCTATCTAGAAATTAAAGTTGTCTCCTAAAATGAGCTTTTCCAGAGTCAGGTAAGGGTATTTTGTTTCCCTCTCATTTTTGCAGTCCAGGTTATATTTACTGTTTTTCAGCTCAAAATTAATCTCATTAAGTCAGTGTAAAAGAAAAGTAGCAGGTGTAAGATATTTGTTACTAGAATTACAAGAATGTTGAAATAAAAATATTACATGCTGAAATGCTGAGTAATCAGAGTGAATGTGAATCATTGTGAGAGAAGAAATTCAGAATAAAGACATCCTGCCATTTCCTTGGCCCAGTGGTGGCACAGTTTTTACTTAATGGCCTTTAAGTAATACTGCATGTGTTCTACAGTTGGTCTGTTTTTACCTTCTGCATTTCTCTAAACTTTGGCACTTGAAAGTGCAGTATGCATTTTTACACTAGGAATTGTCAAGCAGTGCTGTCTCACAAGGCTTTGGTACCCCTATATACTTGACATTCTCCATGAAAAACACAGCCTGTTTGTAGCTTCATCTTTCCTGGGATTAATGGGGAAATAAAAGGACATGAAGTGCAGCTCAGGTGGGTTGTTTTGAGGCAGCAATCCAGCTGCTGCTGCCCTTTCACCCAGGGAGGCAACTCACTGCTGTCCAGCACATGCTGTAAAGCTGGTGTAACTGGGGTGAGATGGTGATGCTCAGGATTAGATTCTTCTGTTGGAACAATTCTCCCATATTGCACTGTTTTGTAACTGGACTGTCAGAAAAATGGCCAAGAGGAAAAAAAAAATACAGTCATGCAGATGAATCTTCTTTTGAGTGGATTTCGCATATTTTGATTTCAGCTCTGGTATTTGGTACAATAGGCTGAAGTCTTCTCTCTTAAGTTGAACGCAGTTGATGATTAATTTGACTTCAGCAAAATCTAACCTTAAATGAGATCAATGAGCAGTGCTTGCAGTGTTTTGAAAACACAGCAGAAATAACTTAGTCTTTAAATTATGCCCATTGCCCCATGGTTTTATGCCAGAATCACTTCGGCAGTTCTATTGCTAGCAACAATTTGCTCAAGATGTCTTCATATTGATAGTGAATTTTTTAAAAATATATTTTCTCCTACCTATGAATGCTTCACGTTATTGATGAAAACCCTGTATGTGTAAATAGCTATAAAAATTGTTTTTCAAAAGTAATGGGTCTAAACTAGCTTCTCAGACTAAGATGCAAACTGTATACAAAAGTAGTCAGAAAAGAGGATAAAAACCTTGAAAGACTCCACAGATAAACAAGTATGTGGATTTAGATCTTTTTAATATTCAAATACATTTATCAGTCTCCCAAATTACAATTCCTTTCTGTGAGGAGGTTTGAAAGAGTTTGGGATAAAATTGCACTGAGTGGAGGAGTGAGTTTAATACTCCATTCAAGTTTTGTTTATTATATTTCCTGAATCTGAAATAAATTTTTATTCTCAGGACATCCCGTATTTAACATTTTTCTTTTTAAAATCATTGCTATCTTTATTAGCTTCAGGTATTTTTAAAATTTTAACTTAATAATCTATATCTCTTAGCAGTGTGTTTGGTATAAGACACCTTGTTGGGAAGAGACATAAAAAATGTGTATTGGCATTTTTAATCTTTGATGTTATTTTAAGAATTTGATTTTATATAAGATAAATTGATTTAAATCAATTAGTGTAATTGAGCTTTCAGGTCACATGAGTGAGCTGTTGAAAGTTCTTTTCTACTTCAAGAGAGATTGCTAGAAACAGAATTCCTATTACAAAATAGGTATTTTGTAATAGTAAATGAAAGCATTTTTCACAAGCCTGATCCAATATATGTCAGTCTTGCTTCTTAAATTGGGCTAATCCACTATGTCTTTCCATTTTTATCTGCCTTGTTACTAAGCAATCTGCTGTAGACTTAACTGTCAGTTGAAATCTAGCCAAAAATAATAAGGTTAAATCATTGCCTGCCACCTTTAGTAATAAAATAATGTAATCTCTCTGAAATAAATTGTTTGACAGCATACAGATCTTCTACTCTTGCAGCTGGTAGAAGCAGCTTCTTCCAGGTGCTCAACCAGCAAGGATCTGCTTTTCTAATAAAAGTGGATTTTGTCAAAAGGGGCATCTCAAAATTAAGATTTGTGTCTCTAGCCCAAGCAACACCCTGCAAAAATCACCCCTTTATAAGTGGAAGAATTTAAAACC